AATGCCATTTGGGGAGAGGCATTTCTTCCTGTGTGTCTTTACCAACCTTGCCTCTCTAAGAGGTAGGAGTGGCAGGAATGTGTATTCCTGTGATGCAGTGAGTGGTAAAATGTATTTCATCTTTTCCTGCAGCCTGCAGGGATTTGTGTTTCAGGGCCACCATTTACAGTGCACACTGATGAGCTATAGGAAGAAACATGTGGTTTTTATGACTCAAAACACACCCAACGCTTGCACATCATGGGGCACAGCTGTGACACACAGTTGTCACACAATGGTGTGTACACATACTATGATACACAGTTCTGGAGGTTTTTGGAAGTAGGTTAAAAGCAAGAGCCCTTTCTTGATAATGTGAGATCTTTGGAGATTAGGATGTGTTTTTTGCTGTTGGCACACCACATGGGCAAACTTTCCTTGCAGTGTTTATCAGTTATGTGATGTCTCCGAGCATGATGGCAGTATAGAACAAAAATATATCATCCCACTTAATTTCCCAGTTGAAGTTTAGAGGCAAGTTTACTGTCATTTGTGAAAGCCTGTTTTGGAAAATACTTGAATGAATGGGAAATTTGTGACTGTATGTGTAATACTGGAAGTTTAATATATATTTCTCAGCTTTTTGCCCATAATTGAGTCTGAATCAGCAATAGTGTAGGCACTAAGCTTCTTCCAGTCAACCTGAAAAAATGGCAAAAACACAATCTGACTTTCAGGTAGCAAAGAATCAAAGCATGGTCATCACGTAGCCAGCAGCTCACAGATTGTAACAGAGACCTTAGTCAGTCTAGCATTGAACTACAATTAGATTTTCTTTTTGAGCCAATCACTAACATAAGAAGTGGCTAGGAAGTAGAGTGTTGCTAGTTCACAAAATATTATGGCAAGTTGCATGAGGTTTGGTGATTTACAGAGTTCTCAACTGGTAATATCCTTTCACTTCTGAAAAAATTTTTTTACTTAAAAAAAAAAAGTTGTAATCTTTGTTCCTATAAAGAACTGGACATGTGACCCAAAAGCACATAAAAATCTCTACTTGCATGCATGTGTGTGCATGTATGTTTGCATGGCAGACTGCTTATTTCTAAGCCTGTCTCATGACAGCTGAATGTTTTTTGTTATTGGTGGTAATACTATCTGTCTCTCAGGGGAGAAGCGAAGCCAACTCTATTTATAGTTCAGATGAACTGTCAAGTATTGTCTTTCACAACAGTTTTATAAATGCTCTGGGACAGATTCTCAACTGGCACAAATGAGCAGGAAAAGAGAAGTCATGCCAATTTATGTTAGTTGAGAAAGCTAAAAGATAACCAGGAAGATCAGCAAGCACTTCGGAAATGGTCCAAGCTGCTTGACTGTGCCATAGCGACACGTGTCTGTGAGCGCAAGTGCTGCTGTAGGTGTTTGCTAGTTCTGGATCAGGCATTTCAGGCAGCAGGCAGCTTGACACCTCTCATGCAGCCAAGACCAGCAGAAATAGTAAAAACTAGGAGTGGAGAGCATGCTTCATGGCAGACTCAGGGCTGGGACTCTCTTGCTATAATGTGTTGTAAATGCAGCACAAAATTAACTTGCATTGGAATCCTCTTTTGCTCAGTGAAAAAATGCGTATTATGACATTGATTTGTAGATATAGGAAACTAAAGTAGCACCCCAACAGGGTCTGTGTTATCTTGGCTTTTAGATGCAAAACTAGGTTATGCAGCAATGTGCTCCAAAGCATCCCAGTTGCATAGGAACCTAATGGCAGTTTTACAAAGAGATAGAAGCAGATGGAGGCCCAGACCCACTTGGTGACCACCTCAGGCCTTTTTCTTTTTTCTCTTATCTTCACCCTCTAAACTACTGTGAAGAAGACTTTCCCAGGTAGGAACTCCAGCACAAAAACACAGTGGTTAAAGCAAGTAAAAGAGCTGCCATGGGAGGATAAGAGAAAATCACAAATTCAAAATACTTGTGAAATGAATCTTGGCCAAACACTTGGAAGATTTTAGGTCTGCTTTTCTTCTGATCATATCTTGAATCAAATGAGACGGGTGGGAAATATTTGCAAACCACATCCTAACATAGCCCATATCATGGTTCAACTGCTTAGTCACTCAGCTGCAGGAGACGTCTGTTCACCACAGAAGGTCTTAAAACAAAGTCTTTTAACAACTTATTACTGATGTGTTATATCTCTCTTACTCTCCTGTTGGGAATGGTTATCTTCCATTGATGAACTCTTCCTAGTCCCAAGGATGGCTGGTTGCACATGGTAATAGCAGTGTCTTGAAGATGACACATGGTGTACCAAGATCCTAATCTTGGCAGTTTGTAAATCAGATTTATTCATTGATAACTTTTTGGCAGTTTTGTGGTGGGACAAGGCCGATGGCTTCATCTCGAGGTGTTTCCCACTTGGCACAGGAAGCTCTGATACCACAAGTCCCTGGGACTGGACCTGCTGAACAAACCCAGAAGCCATGCAGGTAGTGGATTGGAGACCCTGGCTCCACACCACTGCCGGTTTGCTGCTTCATGGTAGCCTCTTGCAGGTATTCAGTCTGAGAGATACGGTTGTTCCTAGGAATTGAATGTTTAAGCCATATTGAAAAAAATAGATAGAGAAATGTCTATGTGGTGTAAATAGCTACCTAGTGGTGTAGATACCCATGCATGACAATGCAGTTAATTACCTTTTTGACTTCTAAATATACACTGATCCAGTGCTCCTCTGTTCTCTTTCCGTCCAGAGATGGTATCAGAAGTGCTGCCCTCTGTGGTTTGGTACGGTCTCCTCCAATCTGCAGCATTATCCTCTTCAATCCTCCATAGCTAGGTACAAGTCAGTGGAGTTTTGCCTCGCCCTCTCTTGCCACAATAAGAAAATAAGCTTTTCTTTGAGGATTAGGATTAGTTGATTCGCAGAGTTGTAGCATTTGCAAATAATTAAAACTGGATTTTGGTACAAAAGACCATCGTTTTCTGCTGTTGTTTTTGAAGCCTTTTCTGTCTTCCCATTTACATTAGGACTGACAGTCAGGAATCAGTGCCTGGGCTTGCTCCAAAGGTACTTGTTATTTTCCACAGGAAGTTTGTCCCTATGTCATTCACCATGATAAGAAGGGAAAATCAGTTTTTTTTTCCTTTACTCATCAGATGTTTTAGTTACTCTCATCCACAGCTGCCTTCATTAGTTGAAGGTACAGTGAATTACCTTTAATAAGGCATTAAAACATGCATGTAATTTAATGTACACCTGCAAACAGTGGCCAAGAAGTTGCAAGTCAACTTAAAAATAATAGAAATGCTTAGTTCATGTATCTTTTCTACCTTCATGACAAAGCAATTCTTGCTTTCAGGCACTAAAGCATGACTGTACTTATGCATTCACAAAATTCAGCAAATCAAATGTATATTCAGGTGTTGAGATAGAGCAGAATGTCAAGGTATATTTGTTAGTAGAATTCACTTTATTTAAAAAGCATTTAGTTCTTCATTCCAGTTTCTTCAAACCCACTGGATCTTATTATTCATGTTAGCTCACTAATTTGTTTCCAGCATTTTTCTCAAAATCTTTAAGAATTATTCATTGCTTTTTATACCAGAGAGTGTTTTCAAGCACTTTTGTTTGCCTTGCTGTTTGACTGTTGTGTATGTTTACAAGGCAAAATGTCTTCCCGATCACTTTTCTGCAGGGGCACTTCTCAGTTTTAGGGTCTGGTTGCACATGGACCAGGAGAACGGAAGGAGGTGTTCTGTTGCTCAGACATGCTGTGCTGGCAGTACTGAGGACTTGGCTGTTAGTGTGCAACCTCTTCTAGTTTTCAACTAAATGATTGACTGTAGGTTGCGGTGGCTTACTTTGCTCAACAATTGACATTAAAAATGTCCCTTGTTCCAACTGTGTGCTTTGGAGCAAGACCAGCAGCTAAACTGAGACAGGGTGAGCATAGCTGTTGGTGCTGCACGTGTCATTCACCACCAGGGCTCTCTGTTATCACTTTTCAAAGAAGGGAGCTTCCTGTTCCTATTCAAATTTTGTGAACGACATTGGGCAGGTTTGTGCTGCTCTTTTTGTTATTTAGATTTACTTACAATACTGCCTTGCTCTCTGTGCTTTTACAATTTGTGCTAAATGCTACTCTGCAGGGCAAGTTTGGTTTTAGTGAAAACTGCCAAAAAAAAAGAGTAATGTCAAAGTTTTTATCTGTTTGTTTTTGGTTTTGTTTTTGTTTTTTATTAAAGCCTCTACAATAACTGGATGCCAGCTTCCAAGTTTTTCTGCTAACTCTCGTTCTGAGAAATGTCATGTGTTTTTTCAGAAGTCTTCCTCCAGGCACTGGAGCGTGAGTGAGGCACCCATATCCTGTGGCATGCCTTTGGAGTGGGGACTTCAGTGTCACTGAATTTCCATGGATTTCTAGACAGCAGTAGCAGGATAGTGAAATGAGCTTATGCCAGCTCGATGTCACTGAGCAGTTCTCTCTGATCCAGACTGATCAGTTATGCAGTGCATTTGGAGTCACCTTCCCAGCCTCATTCTTCTCATATCTCTAAAAGTTGCAGCTTATCAGACTAGATAATAGCTACATCTTCTCTAAAATTCTCTAGATTTATTCATTAATTTCCCTCTTTGACAAAAGATCATTTAAGTCTTGAATTTTAAAGATGCAGAGCTCTTGAATTGGTAGACTTTCAGTTAACTTCAGTATGATACTGAAAATGCTGCTTTTTGTCCCAGAACAGACATGTAAGATATTACCAACTCTGACATTTCTGGAAATGATTTATTAAAAGTGAATTGTTTTCAGCACTTGCTATAGTTATCAGTGGTGAAGTGACATCTGAAAAAGCAACATGATAAGAGTCCACTGCTGCAGTCTTCACAAGTGGAGTGTTGCTTGTAGGGTCAGCAGTTCTGCACACACTATGAAGAAAAATCAAGTACAAAAAATTCCCTTTGAAGGCAATTACCTTCATTTTTATAACTCGAGTGTTGTTCTTTTTTTTTCCAGTAATGCAATCGGTCCCCTTGTTGCACTCTGGCTAATCTATGAACAAGGAGGTGTCATGCAAGAAGCATCAACTCCTGTCTGGCTGCTGTTTTATGGAGGGGTTGGGATCTGCGTGGGTCTCTGGGTCTGGGGCAGAAGAGTTATCCAGACTATGGGTAAAGACCTCACTCCAATCACACCCTCAAGGTAGGTGCTCAGTTGTCATTATGCTAGTTGATCTTTGTTCTGTCTGAGAAACTGCTGTGGCAGTACTTTGCTGGTTTTGCTGTGCTTTAATGATAACCTGGCTTCGATTTCTGTGTCTTTCTAAAAAATGAGAAAGAAGAGAAAGGAAGGATGAAAAAAAAAAGAGAGAGAAAGAGAAAATTGAAAAATATGTATATACTTGTAAACTAATACAGAGTGAGTTTGAGGTGTGGAGGTCTGTGTGAACAGAATCTTCTGCTGATGACTTGACTAACGTGGCACAAGGTGTATGTGGAAATTGTGAGGTTACAGTGGCTTTCCTGGTGTGCTTCAGACTATTTAAAACCTGTGTATTCATTACAGTAATTTTTGTCCTTGGTACATATTAGACCTCTACTGATGCTTAACCAAATCACTAATCAGGCGTGATTCACTGCAACATAACATAGCAAAAGCTCCTGACGCAATGAGCCGTGCCACCAGTTACTGGAGGTGACTAGCTCATACTGTTTCCATTATTCAGCAATTCCTTGTTCTCTTTATTTGTATGACAAAAATCAGGTGGAGATAAATGGTTGAAGAAAACACAGGTAAGACTTTGGCAGACCGCACGTGGTATCAGTCCGAGCTGATGCAAAGAGTGATTGTGAAGTGTTTTCTTATGCTTCCCGCAGTGGATTCACTATTGAGTTGGCTTCGGCGTTCACAGTTGTGGTAGCTTCCAATGTTGGACTTCCTGTCAGTACTACACACTGCAAGGTATGCCTTCGCCGAGCGACTGCAGTCAGGGCAGTCTGGACTATTCATCTTTAACTATGCTGCTCAGATCAGTGGATAATGGCACGTTTATGCAAGGGAAGTGTGGCAAAGGGAAAACAGCTCTTTAAAAAAAATAAAAGATTCCAAATATTGCGTTGACGTCACAGTAAAGCTGTTGCAATTGGGCATGGCAGCCACCAGAGTGTGAACTCCTTTAGCTGTGGTTGAAGAAAAACATTGCTTACCAACACGTGAGCTCACTTTAAAGTAAACAATTGCAGGGGCATCTGGCAGTGAAAAGCCTGGTTTCCTCCAAAGGTGCCATTTGAACCTGGTCGTGTAGCATTTCTCCCTTGTTCAGAGGCTGCGCACCATTCATCATTTATACTTCACTTTCTTGATAAGTGCATGGCATGGGATTTCCTGCATATAACTCTTTTACTACAGGTTTTCCATATGTCTTTTTTTTTTTTATTTCTTCACAGTGGATTTTGCATTGAAGTAATGTGTGCGCTAACGGTACTTGTAGCCTCAAATGTGGGTATTCCAATAAGCTCCACCCATTGCAAGGTATTGGAGTTTGCAGTGACCCCATCAGTAAATCACATCACTAGGACAAACCATAACAAAATACGAGATATACCGATTGCTGCAGATTGCCTTCACTACGCGATGCACCATGCAGACAAAACACCATAGACTGTGTAAAGCAGGTACAGCTGAGCAAAGTCAGCATTACAAGTAATTGCACAAAAGTCTGGAATGTCTTTGATCCTTGCTTAGTCGTACTGAACTAATATAGACTTCTTAAAATAACATAGGCTCGTGGTTTGTGTGATCTGGGTTACATGTAGTTTAGAGCTGCTTGTATAAAAAAAAACAGCGTTACATCCTTACGCTAATAATTTAATTTCTTTCTTCTATTAAACCAATGCATCCTCACTTTTGTGCATTATAACACAGAATACAGTCTGTCTTTTATATATAAATATATGTACACACATATATGTTTTTAAAAGCCCAGCTTGAAGTATAGATAAGATTAATAAAGTTGTGTCACATACTATAGGAGGTAACCTGTGTAGAGGCTTGTAGACATCACAGAGCTTTTGGACATTTGCACTGCAGAAGAACACAGTGGGAATTTGGAATTTGATTCCCCAGGAAATTCATGAGTCCAGTATAATTTTTGCCTTCCCTTTGCTTTCCCATGGACTTCTTAGGCACTCAGAGCTGGCTGTATGCGTCACCTTCCTGTAGGGCGTGGTGAGGATCCCCAAAGCCAGAGCTGCCAGGCGCTCTGCTTTGAGATGTACCAGTAAACCCTAGCAGAGCCAGATCCTGAGGGATTCACTTGTGCACCTGGGGGGCCTTGGAGCCCTCCCAGCTCTGCCAGGGCAGGTTTTTGGGGCTCACTGCTCTGCAATGCAGCAGGCAGGCAGTGAGATACTGGGCTTACTCACCAGTGGCATTGAAAGAATCTTAAAATCCACAAATCTCACAGAACACCCAGAGTTAGTTCAATTGGCCTTTTCTAGTAAAAACTACTTCTTCAGAAAGCTCCCGAGTTGCAAAATCATTTATTTCTTTCTTCTGTCGAGTCCTTTGATCAGTAGCCAAGCCTGGACTGTTTTGAAAGGCTGTTCCCAATGTTGGCCTAACTGGTTCCTCTGATTCAAGCAGGGAAAAAGTTTGTAACACATGAACCACTTGTGAAAATGGTAGCTCCAAAACACCTCCCTTTCAGCTGACTCAAAGTCAAATGCCCAATGAAGAATTTGCCAGGGAGAATAATGCAGCTTTGATTATCTTCACTGTGTGCCTGGAGCCTTCTAGTCAGCCATCAGAAAAGAGAAAATGCACTTTGGTGCAGACAAATAGACCAACTTTAAATGCAAAAGGGAAATTTCTTGGAAGCCATCAGCTAATGAGAGGGCTGTGTTAGAATGTATTCATTGACTCAACACAGTCAAAGGCTTGGTCTTTTTGAAGGGCAGGGCACATTACTCTTCAAAAAATGCTTCCATTAAAGTAATTAATGTGGTTAAGTCTTCACCTCCTACCTGCAGCTTGCTATGTATAATTAGATAGGTTGTTCTTAGTGGGAGGATCTACTTCCTAACAGGATTAGGCTGTTCTAGAACATCATGCTGCTACACCAACTCAGTGTTTCAGCAAAACAAAACTGTGTGTTGAGAGATCAATTGGTCAAGGGCCCAGTGAAGGCATAAGAGAATGATTATCTGTCATTCACTCCATGGGAAAATGTCTCCCTGACAGCATTGCCAGCTCCTCCGTCTTTCCCTATGGAATTTGCTGCAGACACATCAAAGAAGCAGTTACCATTGAGACAGAAGTGTCTTTTTTTTTCAGTCAGCAGAAACATGATTTCACCTGTTCAGCCTGCCTTGAGGTTAGCATGGAAAAGCCAGTGTGCTGTGAATGCATGCCTCCCCATTCTGCTGCCCAGGTAGGCAAGCAGCCAGTGCTGGGTGCCTGTTGTTTACTGTAAAATGTGAGATCTACAAACAGGTGCTTCTCAGCTGCAACACACTGAGAAAAACAGAGTGCAGGAGGTAGGTGCTTTCTCTGTGCAAAAATAACTTTGTTGAGGTCACACTGCCGGATCTATTTTGCTGTTATTTCGGGTGTTGTAAACACTCTCTGTGTTGCTATTAACAGGGTTATGGTAGTTTGGGTATTATTTTGATGCACCACTGCACAGGAATTTCCTGTTGATCTGCTCTGAGCAGAGCATACTGAAGGCAAACTGCGCTGGTTTCAAACCAATCTCGAAGTAGATGTCATCTGAAATTCCACAGAAGGTGTAGTTGCCCTACACCGAAGTTTTAGCTACTCTCCTAACCTTTAGTCCATCTGAATTACTATTAATCAACTAAACTTTGATGATGTTTAAAACAAATTACCAATGCCATCATTGCTGATACCTTTTAAATTTCAGGAAGGTCTCAGAGATTACCGTATGTAGATTTCAGGCTTGCTCAATAAGCAACGCTTCTTGTTGTAGCATGTCACACTGGTGCTAAAATGTAAAGCAGAGACTAACAGCTGAGCTGCTGGAAAAGTACTGTTTCCCTGGATAAACACCTGAGATGTTCAGAAGCTGGGAGTTCCTTTTTGCTGGGCAAGGTGCTGCTTTTTCTCGAGATCCCTGCAAGCCACATACAGACAGGCCTCATGCTCCCCCAGCTAAGCACAGCCTAGGACATTGTCCAGTCCTGATGTATTCAGATTAAATATTATCTAGCAAATTTCATTATTAAATCAGGTCAACCTACAGACAAAACGAAACAATCTTTTAGTTTTATTCCCTCAGATGTATACCTCCTGTAAAGCATGATCCTTCGTGTAATTTCACACAGTCTTGAAGTTGACCTTCAAAGCGTTGGGTCCACTCCTCTGTGGGGACAAACATCTCGTGCTTTCTTTAAACCAAGTCCTTTCAAGTCCCAGAACATCAACTTCAATTTTTCCTTGTTCTGTCAAAGGAGCATTTGATTCAATGATATGAGAGTGATAGGGTTGTCAAGGAAGTGCTTTTGCCTCTAAAAAGAGAGGTTAGGCAGCAGTTAGAAGTTACATAGGTATTAACGAAGGTGTGGATCAGATATCCTCTGCTATCACGCTCCAGCATTTATAATTTCCCTGGCTCCACACATCAGTTGCTTGTAGCCTATATACAGGGACTAGTTCTCCCATTAAGAAAATGAATAAGGAAGAGGAAGCAGGGATGTCATTTCAGCCTGCAGGAAGGGAGCATAAGCCTGGTTGTGTTTTGGAGTTTCAGTTCCTTCAAAACTGAATATTCTTTCCACATTCTTTAATACTTTACTATCTGCTTTGAATAGACATGTATGAGTCTACATTGTTTTGTTAGTGGCAGAGTGGCCATAATAATATGAAGGGTTTACACCCAAGTTCATGAACTGGAAACACATTTGAAGGAATAAATGACAGACAGATAGTAGCTGTACCTTTGCTGCAGCATGTTTTATCTGAAACGCTAATCTCCTCAGCTGCCCTGTTAGTGTCTGTGAGGATATTTTCCCCACCTGAAACCAAGCTTCTTGATATTCCTGTAGTTTGCATGCCTCACATCAGGCTGTTGTGTTCATCTGCAGGGAGGATGTTAGCTCTGGGTGCTTTGCTTGGTGGCTTGTCTAGAAAGGCTGACTTTCTGTGGAGGGCTTGACTGAGGGCAGCCATCATCACCAGAAGCT